TCAAGTCTCCCTGTCTCTCTCTGTTTCTCTCTCTCTCTCTCTCTCTCTCTCTCTAGGAAGAGAAGGAAACGGAGAGATGAGGAGACTGGAGGGGTAATTCTGAAACAATGGGGGAGGAAGATCAGCCAGAGCTGAATCGCCAAGGTTTCATAACTTCTATGTTCCTTACAACGAATCCACATTGAAAAAGCCTTGGAGAGTGGGAGAGAGTGATCATCTGCTTCACTGTGCCAAAAAATACATTTATGTGTGCTCACGTGCCTTCTAAAGGGACAACTCCCGAAGCATCTCTTCTTTTTCAAATTCTCTTCAGCACAAAACCACCCAGGAGTGAGAGAATCTAGTAAACTGTGTGATCTGAAACACTGCATGTCTTTCTCTCTGTTTCACTGTGTGGAGCACAAGGGAGAAAAAGGAAATTTGAAGCAGCAATCCCACTACAGCACCTTTGGGCAGCCCCTTGACCCCACTTTGAAAAACACCTGCGTAGGCAGTGTTTGCAGGCCTCGGCTCTCCCACTGAGTCACCCACTGGTGTAATACGCGTGGTACATAGCTGCTGCTTGCTAAATGAAAGTGATCTCTGCACCACTGCTCACTCTCCCTTGGTGACACAAAAAGCCAATGTTGTTGTTTTTATTTATTCTTTATTACTTATTTTTACAAAGATATTTTAGTGTAAAGACAAAAAAAAAGAAATCCACAGGGTGCCTACATGAACGATAGCGCTGTCTGAATTTAATCTGACCCACGTGCTTTGAAGCAGAGTGTTTCAGGACACGAGTCTGCAGTGGCGCACGCATCTGATCCTTCCAGTGAGAGATCTGCTTTGTGTTGCCTCTGCAGCGGCAGCCCCGCCCACAGGTGCACCGCCGCATTTATTATAGGTAAAGGAAAAGATCAAGGTCGCATCTTCGGTGAATTTAGGAGGATTCAAAAGGGGTCACGTGATGGGTTGGGCCTGCAAAATGCATGTCTCCGTGACAAATGCATCGGCTGCAAATGATCCTCCCCGGATTCAGTGGCGGCTGTTCCATTTCCAATCAGTCCTCCAACTTCGACAAAGTCAAAAAATAAGAAATTGATCCCGAAGAGGTGCAACGAGGAAATATCCCAGGATTTATGGGTCTTCTTCTTCTTTTTCTTCTTTCTAATGAAAAATGTGGCTTGGTATTCTCCATCAGTCATGACCCTTCATACTTCCTGTTCTGTATGAATGTCAGGGCGTATATGAAGTTAATGACTATGAAGGTGTAAGCCTTGATAATGTCATCATGGAAAATGACAATAAGCACGTGCTCTAATCCGCATACAATTAAAGCAGTGAAAACAGATTGGGCGATGTTCTGAACTCGTGAAACTGAAACCTGTTGGCAGCACGCTGTAAATGTCAGTCGTTATTAGTTATAAATAAAGAGAAAGAGTATGATGGCGGTAAAGCTGCTCAAGGTAAAGAGTTGATGGTTAATTCAGAGCCCATGACGAGGATGACTGACATGAAGGCAACCCGGCAAGGTGATGAAACTGGACATTTTACACTCATGCTGCCTCAGTAATGAAATGTCCTTTTCTCACTCTCGACACTTTCGGATAAGAATTGCCATGACTACAAGGAGCGCCTGCTGTTTTTATCGCTGCTGTGCTGCCCTCTTCTGGACACTAAAGAAACAACAGTGCCTCTTCACAGCATCTTTTTTTCCTCCCCTCTATCTGAGAAGCCCTAACGTTGAAGTTTGCTGACTTTATAGTGTAAGTTATTTTATTTTTTATTTGTGAAGTGCAAAGATGTTAGCACAGGAAAAGGAGGAAACTCTCAGTAACCCCATTAAAAGGGATCTTTCCCGTGAGGGTGGTTGTTAATGTCAGGCTTACCTGACATTTGTTGTTTATTAAACCATTTGAAAATCAAATCCTCAAGAGACTTTTTTTTCACTTATGTAACACACTCCGGCATCTTTCAGTTGGCCGACCTGGTGCAGGCTGTCTGATGAAACACTGCAGTCTTTATTTTTAGGAAATGGCTATCTGTGGTCTGAGAGACCAGACGGAGAAGGGTTAGATCTGTGCGTGTAGATCCATTTGCGTTGTTATTCGTTTCCCGTTCCCACGATGCTTTAAAGAATCCCTCTGTATCCTCACAGACGACCACATATTGCTTTGTATTCTCACCCTGTCTTTATTTAAGTCTCAGTCTTCCCTGGTCGCTGCCACCACCACCACCACCCTCCCCACCCCATTAATCAGTATTGCGTTAAATGACAGCATCTGCCTGATCAGGGAGAAGAAGTTATACAGTATTCCCTGCACCACGGCAACATGGGCAACAGGGTATCTGCAAGCCATTTCACACAAAGAATCATTTTCACAGCAGCACCATGTTGAGCACGGAAACTCTCGCACTTTTCGCACAGTGCAAAAGCACCGACAATGAATTTCTGCCTCGAGTGCTGTGAATTGAAGCTCTAGTGCAGGCCTATTTAGTGCTGTACATTTTGTCTCTATTCACGTTAATAAATCAGCAAATTGCTCAGTTGGGCTTTAAAAATACAATTTGCCCAACAAGCTGATGCAGAAAGGAACAGACTGCACACCAGAATATATATCCTCCCCTTATTCCCATTATCCAACGGAATGTAAATTACTACTGTTATCCCAAGTCATGAATATCATCAACTCCACCACTTCACACGCGTCTTTCAACTCTGGTGGTTGCATTCAAATGACATTACCCTATTATCAGTGAGGTGTGACTTATTGGCTGTTGACTGACTTGACTTGATGCCCGCATCCCCCCTCGTCCCTCGCATTAATTAATCATCGAGTCTTAACCACCAAAACTTAAAAGAATAATTTAATTAAAACTAACATCTGGGGCTACAGACTGTTTTTTGAATAATAGACTTTCCCCCCCTGGTGTTTTTGGGGGGTGGAGGAGGAGGGGGTGGGCCTTCAACGTCATTCCAAGGGAGTTGCAGTGATTGCGGACTTCCCTCAAAGTTCAGTTGCCCGAGTCAAATCAGCCACAGGGGGAATGTAACTTTGGAGTTCGGGAAATTTGCGGATGGTAATAACAGGGTAGTTTTTTTTTCTGTGGTAGAAATATTTATTTTAATGCGTTTGTTAAGTATGAAGCACAGGCGTGGAGAGATGGACCGGCGGTGGGCAGTTTTCACACTGATTTTAAACTTTCAGCTCACTTACGGGACCCCCTCCTCTTACGGCTTGTTCCACGGGTCTGCAAACACTGGACCGGTACACAGACACAGGACTGGGTAAGCAATGACTTTTGTACAGTTTAGACGAGCTCTTTAAAACTGTCTGTCTTTCAGAAACTAATAAGTGCTTCATGACGGGTGTTTCTGCTTAAAGGTAACGCTGCGCTTTTTTTCTGCCAAACAAAAAAAAAATCAATCCAGACTTCTCAGTTACCTGAATGACCTGAGGATTTAGCCTCTTATGGTCATATGTAGTTTGATAGCATTCCCCGTTGTTCTATCAGCCTGTGACTAAATTTGGCTCGAGTTCGCCAGTGTTGCCAAAAGTTGGCGATAAGGTGCAGATAAACCCTGGAACGTCGCTGATTACCTCCAGTCTCTTATGTACAGCAGACCACTGCATTTCCACGTTTTCTGATAAATGAAAATAGACTGGGAATGGACGCCTGACAAAGATCACTGCAACGACGCCTTTAGGGAAAGCTCATAAACCATATGGAGCTTGTTATGAAACTTTTATAGTCCAGCTGCGTTCTTTGGTATATTGCTCTAAATTAATTGCCACTTCTTGCTATACATGCTTAAGTCTTTGTTTATCTCCCTCCTCAGGAACTGGTGCGCCTATATGGTGCAAAAGAACGTGAGCTGCGCCGTGCAGGGGAGTGTGGAGAGCTTCGAGGAGCCCGTGGTGGCCCCCTGCCCAGCCTACCAACCCGACTGCCAGCAACAAGTGGCGTGAGCATCCGGGGAGAAGGGGTTGAGGGTTCATGTTTAGATGCATGTGGCAGAATAGATACAAAATGTTTATTTGGGAGAGAGCTGGAGGCAGAAATGTTCACAGTGGCTGCAAAGCTTCATGGGAAGAAGCAGAAAAAGTACAGCTTTTACAGCAAGTTAAAAAGCCCACTGAAAATAGGCAAAGGGAGGAATCTGTGGGTAAAGCTAGTAAAGAGGAGAACATTACCCATAGTTTACTCATTTCTGTCTGTTGTTGGACTAAATGACAAGCCAGGCTGAAGCAAGTGTTACCAGAAAATCCCCAAAAAGTTCAAAACGCGATGCAACCATTAAATGAGACAACAAAGCTGCGCTTCTTCCAACAAAAAAACTTATGGTGACATAAACTACGTAGAAATTTATGTTATGTTGCCATTTTCCATAATAAGCTATTGTTCAGGTTCACAATAGTGCACACATGGGCAAAATAGGGCTTTACGGCCACAACTGGACTGCAGAGCATCTAAATCCAGCCTGCAAATTGGCAACCTGTCCAGGGTGTACCCAGCCTCTCGGTCTCACCCAGTCCCCTGAATTCAATAACTGAAAGAAAATGAATACATGGATGGATGGATGGATATTTTCCTTGTAATGTGTAACCATGCTATTTGCAATTATAGGCCCTTCTCTTGTCTTAAAAACTCAAACTCAGTATCGGCCTGAAAAAAAAAAAGTTGTCCAGTTCTGCTACAGTAGCTGGACACTGCCATCAGGCCTGCACGCACCCTGGTTAGTTTGTCAGTATAAGTACTGAAACTAGGCCCAGAGGTTTTCCCAAGCACAGGTGTATAAATGGGATTAACTGTAACTGCCAGCTGTCCAAAATAAAGACTAATATGATGAGAATAAGTAAAATAAAAAAGGCGTATAACAGGCAAGTGCTAATATTAATATATATTTGAGCCAGTTCACATTTACTTTTTGATCTATTCCTTTTTTAATTTTCTGCATGTTAAGGTTTGACTTTGTGTTTAACATTTCACCTATAGAGGACATCTTTATGTATCTGCATGTTTGTCCATCTAGTCCTTTGTTCAAATGAGTTATGAGACTCTAACAGATGGTTCACAGTTGCTAATTTGTTAGCATTAGAAAGAATTTAGCCCTGATTAAAACATAACTCAATGAGTTGCTGTAGCTTTCATAACTATTATGGACAAAATAGACTTTGCTATGAGTTTATCTGACAAGCAATTAATCTGGAATCGCATTAGGGTGGCATATATAGGTTATATATGTGTATAGGTTATACATTTATATATAAGTGTATAACCTAAATACCCATGAACTTTTGACAATATGAACATATCACAATAAAAATAAAACTTTTCCCTAACCCATTTAAAGTTAAAAGACTTTGATTACCACATCCAATCCCCAAACTTCTGCACTAAACAAATCATTAACTGATCATTGTAAATGGGAATGTCGGCACCAGTGACTGGAATACTTTTAATTTTGTACTGGAAGATGCTGTGTTGCAATTTAATTCATTTTTCTTAGTGAATCATTGTTAGTCCTTAAACACATGCTATCTGTGGTTCTGCTGTGTGATCCTCTTGCACAAACACATGGATGAGAGCCCCTACTCTGTGGAAAAGATTCCTGGAAGCTGATCATACTTAGGTCACCAGATTTCCAGGCAAGAAGAGCTGGTCATGAGAGGAGACACCTCACCTTATGATACACAGCACTGACTTCATGTTGCCTCATGTTAGGATTAGATTTACTTTGTAGATCACAAGCAGACCTTAAAGTGTTGTTGTCACTTGCTTTCTTCTTTTGTTCCTGCTTATTGAGAGTGAACAGTTTTACCAGTGAGAGTTGGGAAATGTGTAAAGATGATTGTTTCAGATAGTAACTTTCCAGATGTTTTGCATGACATGACCCCTGGCTTCAGGGAAGTGATATCATCCATTGTTTCTTTGGGAAATGCTTTCTTTGGCTGGAAAGCTGGAATTTTGACATAGTGAAGATTGAAGGAGAAGGTCTAAAATATCTATGTTAAAAAAAAAA